CCACCTAGTAATCTCTATTGCTTAGTTCTAAATCTTGGATAATTTTCCTGACAAAACTGAGAGCAATTTTATTTCTAGTATAATATTTACACATTTTGACTGTATCATTCATTCTCTTCCTTCTTGGACAGTTTGGGAAAAATGTATTGGGAATGTTGCATGAGAGAACTTTATTGACTATTAAAATGGTGAAATTTTAACAAGGTTTTTAGATTACTGTTATATTCTTTGTCCTAGCCTGGTGGTGGGTATTAAAGAGGGCATGTTCTGCATGGAGCACTGAGTGGTATGCACAAACAATGAATCATGGAACACTACATCAAAACCTAATGATGTAATGTATGGTGATCAACATAACATAATAAAAAAAAATTGATATTCAGGTTTCATGTTATTTAGTGAAAAATGCAGAAAATGTATTTATTACTTACTTATTTATATTTATTAGATAATATAGGATGATTTTTTTATAGTAAACAAAACCTGAGGCTCCATTTATATATGTAAGGGGTTTGTGAAAAAATAGTGTATTATTAACATAGAGGAATATACAGAAGAATTACCATGCAGTAATTAAAAATGATAATCTAGGCCTGCATCTTCTACGTTTAAGTAAACATAATTAACATAACATAATAAAAATAATAAAATAATAAAATAAAATTAAAAAAATTAAAAAAACAAAAGCAAGATTCCAAAAATAGGTTTAGGACAGAACTCCAGCTCCTCTTGTTAAAAAATAAACTGCAGTAAGAGTTCTAAAAAAAAAAAAGAAACTAATGTGGGAAAAAAAAGTCAGTTTCCCTAGAAAATCCATTAGTTTTAATGTCACAATTTTTGGAGTGAATTTCTATTTTTGACTGTTTTCCCTTCTTCCTCCAAATTGTGTCATTTTGTCCTTAAATATATTCAGCCCAATATGGTTTACCTATTCCAAGTCATATATGTTATTTTTACTTGAATTAAGAGTACTAAGTACTAAAATATCCTAAAGAAATATATATATGTCTTAGTGAGTTGTGCCCATTATTGAAATATGACTTCTCCCTATGAATGCAAAATGAAAGAGGCTGCTTGGAGTATTGATATAAAGTCTTAGGTCATTGGTGAATTTAATGATATAAAATTAAAAGGTGCTTCTTTCACTGTATGTGAGTGTCTTCATGTAATTTCTGGATTCATGCTAAGAACTAGCATCTGTTGAACATGACCTAAGTATTTGAGACCCAAGGGGTTCCTCTTTGAAAACACACATTTCTTTTTCCCCAAACTGGGCTTTGATATTTAACCATGCCATTCCTAGCAATCCTAGCATCATTAGTTTTTGATGTAGTGTTCCATGATTCATTGTTTGCATATAACACCCACTGCTACATTCAATACATGCCCTCTTTAATACCCATCACCAGGCTAACCCATCCCCTGACACCCCTCCCCTCTAGAACCCTCAGTTTGTTTCTCAGTGTCTATAGTCTCTCATGGTTCGTCTCCCCCTCCAATTTCCCCCCCTTCATTTTTCCCTTCCTACTATCTTCTTTTTTTTTTTTAACATATAATGTATTATTTGTTTCAGAGGTACAGATCTGTGATTCAACAGTCTTACACAATTCACAGCACTCACCATAGCACATACACTCCTCAATGTCTATCACCCAGCCACCCCATCCCTCCCACCCCCCACCACTCCAGCAACCCTCAGTTTGTTTCCTGAGATTAAGAATTCCTCATATCAGTGAGGTCATATGATACATGTCTTTCTCTGATTGACTTATTTCGCTTGGCATAATACCCTCTAGTTCCATCCACATCGTTGTAAATGGCAAGCTTTCGTGTGTTTTTGATGGTTGCATAATATGATCTCACTGATTGTTCAGGCCTTCAATCACTCACAGTTAATGCCTAGTGGGTCCCAAGTAATATTTGACATGCTAAAGATACAATCATGAACAAAACAAAATACAGTTCTGGCCCTCGTGGAGCTTACATTCTGAAGGACTTACTTCATATAACTACGAAATGCTACTCTCATCATCATGGAATATTACTGTATTAGTTTTGAAGGATTGCCATAACAAAGAACCAGAAACTAGGTGCCTTAAAACAACAGAGGTTTATTAATTCCAAGCTCTGGATTATAGATGTTTGAAATCAAGTTGTTGGTTGTGCTATGCTCTTTCCTAAGTCTCTAGGGGAGAATCCTCACTTGCCTTTTCAGCTTGTAGCCCTAGCTGTTCCTGGGATTGTGGCCAGTCTTTGTCTCTGTCTTCACATGGCCATCTTTCTTCTTTGTCAGGGTCCAAATTTTCCTGTAATAAAGACACCGGGGGTATTGGATTACAGATCCATCTTACTCCAGTATGATGTCATCTTAATTTAACTAATTATGTCTGCAATGACTCATTCCCAAATAAGGTCACATTATGAGGTACTGGGGTTAGGATTTCAACATATCTTTTTAAGGGACATAGTTCAACACATAGCAATGACTTTAGAAAAATAAGGGTACATTTACAATAATGTATGTTTGGAAAGGTGTAATTCTCATAGGTATAAGCCCCATTTTAGGTTTAGTAGTGTGGTCAGAATAGAGTGAGAGAAACTTGGCAGTAGAACACAAAGAGATTTTCTCTTTTTCCCTTGATCTTTGGAGTCAGAGCACCAAACATAGAGTTAGAGGGATACACCAATTTAAAAGCACAAAAATGATGCCAGGTGCAAAGTTCTTAAGGCATGGGGGGAATTGCAATGGAGCTATGTCCATTAACTTAACATCCAGATGTAGATTTTCCAAAGAAAAACACCCACCAATAAATACATAGAGAGACTAATATGTATCCACTGAACCTGTCTGCTGAGGACAGAAAGTCCAGGCAGGTATTGCCTTGTTTGACATGAGTATAGTCATAAAAACTCATGCATGGACTCTGTGACCAATATTGCAGACTCAGAGGGAGGTAGAAAGGGACAGCACCAAATAGAAATTGGAGAAGAATCTTCCTTTGGTAGTGATCTACTACAAGTTCCAAAGCGAATATCTGCAAAGGTTTGACATCCTACAGAGCCCAAGGCATTATTAGCACTTGAAAAAAGTGAAATAGTGTTTCTGAAAGAACTGTCTGGGTAGCCTGGGTCAGAATTATTTTTTGTATGGTTAAAATGGTAAGACCTATCTTAGTAAAGAAGAATTTTAAGAGTGAAACAAGGAAATTAGCTTTTAACAAGATCCTGCATGATTCTTATACTAAATTCAAGTAACCAGAGCACCAGAAGGAAAAGAAAAGAAAAAAAAAGTAACAAATTAAAGTCAATATTAAGGCAAATTAACAATAGTTACACAAAACATCTTTGTAGTAATCAGAATTGTTACAGTCTGTAGAAAAATCTGGAGAGGTTTTCAATTCATGTATTTTTTCAGTTCATATTTGAAGATATTAGAATAATCTAAAGATGATAGCCATCAATGTGCTAGTTATTTATGACTATTGAAGAAAAACTCCTAAAAATATAAGAAAATGAATCCGCCAGTAAATTACCTGAATAATTCATGACTACCAAAACTAGTCCAGAATTGAAAAAATAATTGCATTATAGAAAAACTATTAAAACAATTCACCAAACCAATGTCAAAAAAAAAATCCCCAAAAGGTACCATCAATTTGATAGAATCAAGATAGGCTTTTGAAAGCAATCAATATCTGTCCACTCCTGATAGGATTTTTAGTAAGATATAAATGTTTATTGCAATTCCAGGGATGACAATATAATTATTGCTAAAGCACAAGAGGCCTTCTAAGAATGCATACCACAGTTGATATTTTTTCCTCAATAAGTGCTAGTCAACATAATAAAAATTAAATGTAAATAAAAATATTGGAGATTTTTAGATGACATGATTGTCTGTCTAGAAAACCCAAGCAATAAACCTGGAAAAAAAAGTATTACTGCATATGAAGGAATTCAACATGGTAGCTATTTACAATACTAAAACCAAAAGTTAAAGGTTAGAACAAAACACTTTAAAAATAGCAACCAAAATTATAAAATACCCAGAAATAAATGTCACAAAGAATATGTAGGGTCTATGCAAATCAAACAATAAAATGTTGTTGACCAATAGAAAGCTAATATTATTAAACAATGAAAATGTGTCAATAGGAGAAGATACCACCTAGTAATTGTAATTCCATTTTATTTTTTTTATTAAACACAATTATAATTCCACTATTACACTGGGATAAATGTGACTAAAACTGTGGGGTTCTGGGGAAGGTCCAGAAAGAGTGCACTAAGTTGACCTATTTGGATGGAGGTAAATTCAAATAAAGTTAGTTGGAGGAGAGAGTTCAGAAGAACAAAAGGAAGGAAGGAAGGAAGGAAGAAGGAAGGAAGGAAGGAAGGAAGGAAGGAAGGAAGGAAGGAAGGAAGGAAGGAAGGAAGGAAGGAAGGGAGGAAGGAAGGAAGGAGAGAAGGAAAAAAGGGAAAGCACATTTAAATCTGGAAAAAGAAATATGAAGAGAATATTTAAAATAAATTAAAATCATGAAAAAATTAGTAGGGATAAACACTAAACTCTACTAAGTCCCTGAGTATTAGAGAACTCTATTAGTGCTAAGAAGGTCCTCTAAGAATATACTAACATTAACTGGCTTTGATTCTCGGAAAAGTTGTTATTAAAAAAATAAAAGAAAGCTCTGCTCAATATTATGAGTAGTTAACTTAAAAGTCATTTTTCTGTACCTGAGAAAAGACATGGATCCAAAAGTATTTTGCTTTGTATGTTAGCTTTAGCTTTAAAAATATCCTTTGTATAAACTTATGCTTTAATATCTTATGTTCCCTGGTGATCATATGGTCTCAGAGATCACTAGATTAATTGTTTTACTTCACATAATATTATAATGAGGAGGGAATCTGGAAGTCATTTAATGAGAGAATTTATCTCATGCAAAATTGTCTTTACCTCAGGAAAAAAACAGTCACTGCATTTCAAGCTGTTATCCAGTCTTTGGTACATTTATATATATTGGAGAACTCTTCACTTCACAACGATGGCCATTTCAAAATTGGGTAATCTCATTCCTATTCTCCTATTTCTCTATGATTAATCTTATACAATAGAGCATCATATTATGAGTCATCTCATTTTAATAATGATGGCCACTTCAATATTTAAAGACAGCTATTTTGTTACTGCTAACTGTTCATATTTAGGCTAAACATTTCCAGTTCCTTAAACTTGTCTTCATATGAGATGCTTTCCAGATTCCTCATTATTTTGCATAAGGCTTTAAATGACCTAATTTTAGTTAAACCTCTGTTGTTTAGTTCAACCCAGTACTGAACTTCAGATATTATTGGAAGAATGGACTAATAGTCTTATAAATTTGATAACTCTAGAGCAAATCTTCATGGCCTTTTGTTGAATTACTTGCATAATAGCCATATGTCCTTTCAAAATTGCTTTTGTATCCATAGCAGATTTGAAATAATTTAGCTTGATATCAATATTAGAGTTACTTTATTTAAAATGAACTGCCTTTTCAGCCAAAAAACAAGTAAAACAGACTCAGTGATGGATTTCTAAGATACTACTGGAGTTTTGTGTCTCTGTGTGCATGCACTTTTGTAGCATGTATGTTTATGTATGTGTAGGGATGCATACGTAAGTGTTTTGCTAGAGGATATTGCAATTTTTTAACTGAAGTATAATTGACATACATTATATTAGTTTCAGGTGTAAGCATAATGATTTGACATTGGTATACATTGTGAAATGATCACCACAATAAATCTACTTTCCATTTATCACCATACAGACTTACAAAGAATTTCTTTTCTTATAATGAAAACTTCTAAGATTTATTTTCTTATCAACTTTCAAATTTGCAATACAATATTATTGACTATAGTCACCTTGCTGTACGTTACATCCTATGACTTATTTTAAAACTAGAATTCCACTTATATTTGTAATCTAAAAAACAAAACAAATGAACAAACAAAATGGAACAAAACCCAGATATATGGAAAACAAAATGGTGATTGCCAGAGGGGATAGGGTTTGGGAGGTGCAAAATAGGTGAAGGGGATTAAGAGTTACAAAATAAAGTTTCTAGTTTATAAAGATCACATTGTAAAAATTTTGTGATATTAGGAAAAATGAAATTAAGTCTATTGTTTGTGTAAACATTAAAGTGCTTTCTTAGCTGTTTTGGAAACATAAAATAAGTGTATTTGAGACCATTTAATTAAGAAAATTTCAAATAAAAAATAACATTTCAAATGATTATTAACAAATCATCATGAACCTAATATTTCTTTTCACCCAGTATTTTGAAAATATTAATTATGTCATCATATGAGAGAAGTTTGCTGGAATTTAGGGAGAAAGCAAATGTACTTATTAGCATGCTACTATTTTTTAGACTGTTGGTATTATTGTATTGTAGATTAAATATATAATATTCAGTTCCTTAATTGTTTTGTCTGGTTTATAACCTAGCTATGTTGACTTTAACATTCTACATGTTGTTACTACTCCTTTGTTGATCCATGTATATTTTAATATAAACTTAAATAAATAAATAAAGAGGTAAAATGTCCCATAATGTGGGTCCCAAATAGGCTCAAAATGGACGGAAAGGCTTTTTAAAAATAGATTTTCAGGCTGGTGCCTTAAGATTCTGATGCAGCATATCAGGTGGTGGTGTTCGAACTGGATTCTTCAAACACCCAATTGATTCTAATGACAGAGAAAAAACTTGTGAAAACACTGATTCAAAATTATTCCAGAGACACATATTATTGCTGTTTTGAATTATTTATACCATTCATTACATCTGGTATACAGATAATTGAATTAAATATATGATATTTGAACTTACTCTATGTTTAGAATTAGAAAGTAACAGCTTCTCTCCAAAAAATTCAGTATTTTTACTCAGTTTTCATTTTCTGTAGTGGGGATTCACTCAAAGTATATAATGCATTAAATAAAATTATTTTTAAATGTATTCATCTTTAGATTAATTATATTTTTATCTTCTGCTTGCAGGGTACAAGTTGAATTCTATATGAATGAAAACACATTTAAAGAGAGACTAAAGTTATTTTTTATCAAAAACCAGAGATCAAGTGAGTAATTCATTTTATTCTCCTGTGTATATGTTTGTACATATTTGCCTAAAAAAATTCAGCCATGCAATCCTTTTGCAAAATATCTTTTATGTAGAATAAATATGATAATCTTTTCTGCCAGGCAGTAAAAGTTTAGAAAGCTATAGATGTTACATTTGGTGGTGTTAGGATTTTTGAATACCTGTAATTCCCCAAATCCCACATCAATAAGCAGACTTGTGAGCGGACCATCTGGATTAGTCGAGACATTTAGGAAAATAATTTAAATGTGGGTCCCCTTATTTTAACTGTGAGGGATACTGAGAAGGCTCTGACCAAACCAGAATAATTATCTGATTTATTGAGGAAGAGTTTAATGCTTCCCAATCATGCCTGATAACAAGGGTTTTCTGAAATGTACAGATAACTAGCACCCTTCTCTGGAGATTTTGAATCAGGAAGTGTGGGCCTCAGCTCAGAGTTTCACACTCCACTGATGCTTCTCATCAGATAAATTTGGGAAACATTTCAACTTCAAGAAGACATGAAATTGGCATAGTCACTGACCTAAGACCATTCAAGGCTGATATGTCAGTGATACTTGTAGCCTCCCTGTAATGCCACATATTTTTTAAAAGCCATATATAATGAGTCAATATATAATTTTTCATGTGATTATTGCTTAAAATGTCAGCAAACAATGGAGAAGTCTGTATTATGGATTGGTGTAGACTTTTTGTTCTTTTTGACCCTGGAATCTTCTTGGGGTGGTCTAGATTAAGTTGTGTCTCTATAGGGTCCAAAGAGAAAAGCCCAAGTTGTGGGAGTTTATCCAAATACCGAGTGTAGGGACTGTTTCAGTATGTAAGGCACACTGGTTAGAGATTCTTTTTTTTTTTTTTAGATTTTATTTACTTGACAGAGAGAGACACAGCGAGAGAGGGAACACAAGCAGGGGGCGGGGAGAGGGAGAAGCAGGCTCTCCGCTGAGCAGGGAGCCCGATGCGGGGCTCGCTCCCAGGACCCTGGGATCATGACCTGAGCCGAAGGCAGACGCTTAACGACTTAACCAGGTATCCCTGGTTAGAGATTCTTAATGGCAAGTTAGCTCCAGAGTTAAGGCTAATCATAGCTAATGCCTTTCCAACCTGGTTGTTTAGAATTTCCAAGGAAGTCCCACCAAGAAGTATTACCTAAAGTGGCCACATCATCATCTGAATAGGTTTCCTTGATTTTAATACTAACAATGCTATCTTTCCAGGCCAGAAAAGATAGATGCATTATTTGAATACTTCACCAGCAGCCAACTTTGATTAAATAGTCATTTGAGGAGACCAGTTCTATAAAACCAGGGCAATGTCATGAACAGTTTAAAAGACTTTATGAAGAAGCTAACCCATAAAATGTACCTAGCATTTTAATAGGGAAACCTAGGAAAAATTACACAATTAATAAGCATTAACCTTTTATTGTTAAGAAATGTTACTTCAAGTACACTCATATATAGCAGAGTAAAAAAAATGACATTTCATTTCCAGATTTTATTAAATAATAATTATAAGAAGACCTTTCTGAAAATTTTATTCATAATGCATCAATCAGATACCACCTGATAATTACAGGAAAGGTAATGCTTCTATTAATCAGACTTTAGGCATATTTTGCTTAATGTTAATTGCTCTTCTTCATCATCAAGTATTATAGGCTGCATAACTATGACCTATACAGTTTTACAGATACATACATGGCAGTCTTAATACCCCCAAATATCAAAGATTTCATTGGTATTCAACCTAAAGTCAAAAGTAGGTTTCAACTGGTCGAACTAAAAAGTGTGTGTGTATGCATGTATTTTCCAGCAAATGCGATTATAACTCTTCTACAATTATATAATTACTAATTGAGAGTACATATATAATTATATACATGATTATAATTTCTCTATAATCAAATCCACAAGGTGTTCTGAAAGTAAAAGATTTATAAACTATCTGATGAACTTGTAAGTGTCTAGGTTTTCTAGCTAGCTAAAACTTATTCCAAAATTCATGGATACAAAAATTGCTTACACTTCTAAGAATATTTGAGCCAATCTTGATTGGAAATATTTTTGTGGCTTCTGAATGCTCAAACCTAGATTTATCCTTGAGTATAATATTCATTGCCATTTTCAGTGCATACAATCTGTCAATGTCAGTTTTTGTTTAAGTATTTAGGTAATTAAAATTCAGCTACCTAAAATTTAAGAGTTTAGACAATTATAGTATTATAGTTTCTAAATACAATTTAAGTTCTATACTTAAAGGTGTTATTTTTGACAATTTTTTTTGGTCCTTCATGAACTAAGTTCAAATAAAAATTAAATTTTTGTTGTTTGTTTAAAGGTCTAAGAATTCGTCTATTCAATTTTTCTCTCAAATTATTAAGCTGCTTATTATACATAATCCGAGTGCTACTAGAAAACCCTTCACAAGGAAATGAATGGTAAGGTGTCTTTGTCCAAACTTCAACAATATTCTTTTTATTACTTTGAAATGGATTATAATTTAATTTATTTTTATTTTTATTTCAAGATTTTATTTAAATTAAAGTTAGTTAAGACATAGTGTAGTATTAGTTTCAGAGGAATAATTTAGTGATTCATCACTTGATACAACACCCAGGGCTCATTACAAGTGCCCTCCTTAATGCCCATCACCCATTTACCCCAACCCCCAACCCACCTCCCCTCCAGCAACTCTCTTTTGTTCCCTATAGTTAAGAGTCTCTTACGGTTTGCCTAAAAATATTTATTTATTTATTTATTTATTTATTTATTTATTTATTTATTTATTTATTTATTTATTTATTTGAAAGCAAGGGGAAGGGCATAGGGAGAGAGAGAGAGAATCTCAAGCAGACTCCACACTGAGCACAGAGCCCATCCTGGGGCTTGACCTCACCGCCCTGAGATCATGACCTGGGCCAAAACCAAGACTCAGATGCTTAAAGGACTGAACTACCCAGGTGCCCCTCTTTCTCTGTTTTTATCTTATTTTTCCTTCCCTTCACTGTGTTCATCTGTTTTGTTTCTTAAATTCCATATATGAGTCTTTCTCTGACTGACTTATTTTACTTAGCATAATACACTCTAGCTCCATCCACGTCATTGCAAATGGCAAGATTTCATTATTTTTGATAACTGTGTAATATTCCATTGTGGAATATATATCTATATCTATATCTATCTATATCTATATCTATCTCACTTTTAATTTATCCATTTATCAGTCAATGGACATTTGGGCTCTTTCCATATTTTGGCTATTGCAGATAGTGCTGCTATAAACATTGGGGTGCATGGGCCCTTTTAAATAATTATTTTTTATCCTTTGGATAAATACCTAGTAGTGCAATTGCTATTCTCATTGTAGTTTTAATTTGCATTTCCCTGATGCTGAGTGACGTTGAACATTTTTTTATGTGTCTGTTAGTCATTTTTATGTCTTCTTTGGAGAAATATCTGTTCATGTCTTCTTCCCATTTCTTAACTGGATTTTTTGTTTTTTTGGGTGTTGTGTTTGATGAGTCCTTTATAGATTTTGGATACTAGCCCTTTATCTGATATGTTATTTGTGAATATCTTCCCCCATTCTGTAAGTTGCCTTTTAGTTTTGTTGATTGTTTCCTTTGCTGTGCAGAAGCTTTTTATCTTAATGAAATCCCAATAGTTCATTTTTGCTTTAGTTTCCCTTCCCTCTGGAGATGTGTCTAACAAGAAGTTGCTGTGGCCGAGGTCAAAGAACTTGCTGCCTGTGTTCTCACTAGGATTTTGATGGTTTCTTGTCTCACATTTAGGTCTTCCATTCATTTTCAATTTATTTTTGTGTATGGTTTAAGAAAGTGGTCAGTTTCATTCCTCTGCATGTGGCTGACCAATTTTCCCAACACCATTTGTTGAAGAGGCTGTCTTTTTTCCATTGGATATTCTTTCCTCCTTTGTCAAAGATGAGTTGACCATATAGTTTGGGTTCATTTCTAGGTTCTCTATTCTGTTCCATTGATCTATGTGTCTGTTTTTGTGCCAGTACCATAATGTCTTGATGACTACACCTTGTAATATAGCTTGAAGTCCAGAATTGCGATACCTCCAGCTTTGCTTCTCTTTTTCAACATTACTTTGGCTGTTTTAGGTCTTTTCTGGTTCCATACAAATTTTAGAATTGTTTGTTCTAGCTCTGTGAAAAATGCTGGTGTTATTTTGATAGGGATTGCTGAATGTGTAGATTCCTTTGGGTAGCATAGACATTTTAACAATGTTTGTTCTTCCAGTCCATGAGCATGGAATGTTTTTCCATTTCTTTGTGTCTTCCTTAATTTATTTCATAAGTGTTCTATAGTTTTAGGGTACAGATCTTTTACCTTTTTGGTTAGGTTTATTCCTAGGTATCTTATGGTCTTTGGTACAATTATAAATGAGATTGATTCCTTGATTTCTCTTTCTGCTGCTTCATTATTGGTGTATAGAAATGTAACAGACTTCTGTGTTGATTTTACATCCTACAACTTTGCTGAATTCCTGTATTCTAGAGATTTTTTGTTGGGAGTCTTTTGGGTTTTCTACTTAAAGTATCATGTCGTCTGCAATGAGTGAAAGTTTGACTTCTTCCTTGTCATTTTGGATGTCTTTTATTACTTTTTGTTGTCTGATTGCTGAGTCTAGGACTTCTAGTACTATGTTGAGCAACAGTGGTGAGAGTGGACATCCCTGTTGTGTTCCTGACCTTAGGGGAAAAGTTCTTCATTTTCCCCCATTGAGGATGATGTTAGCTGTAATTCTTTCATATATGGCCTTTATGATCTTGAGGTATGTTCCTTCTATCCTTACTTTCTTGAGGATTTTTATCAAGAAAGGATGTCATATTTTATCAAATGCTTTTTCTGCATCTATTGAGAGGATCATATGGTTCTTATCCTTTCTTTTATTAATGTGATGTATCACCTTGATTGATTTGCAGATATTGAACCACCCTTGCAGCTCAGGAATAAATTCCACCTGGTCATGTTGAATAATCCTTTTAATATACTATTGGATTCAATTAGCTAGTATCTTGTTGAGAATTTTTGCATCCATATTCCTCAAGGATATTGATCTGTAATTATCCTTTTTAGTGGGTTCATTGTCTGGTTGGAATCAAGGTAATGCTGGCCTTATAAAATGAGTTTAGAAGTTTTCCTACCATTTCTATTTTTTGGAACAGTTTTGGAACAGAAGAATAAGTATTAAGTCTTCTTTAAATATTTGGTAGAATTCCCCTGGGAAGCCATCCGATCCTGGACTCTTGTTTCTTGGGAGATTTTTGATTACTGATTCAATTTCTTTGCTGGTTATGGGTCTGTTCAGATTTTCTCTTTCTTTCTGATTCAGTTTTGATAGTTTATATGTTTCTAGGAATTTATCTATTTCTTCCAGATTGCCTGATTTGTTGGTATATAACTGTTCCTAATATTCTCTTATAGTTGATTGTATTTCTGAGGTGTTGATTGTGATCTCTCGTCTTTCATTCATAATTTTATTTATTTGGGTCCTTTCTCTTTTCTTTTTGTTAAGTCTGCCTGGGTGTTTATCAGTTTTGTTAATTCTTTTAAAGAACCAGCTCCTAGTTTTGTTGATCTGTTCTATTTTTTTAATTTCTATATCATTAATCTTTATTATTTCTCTTCTTCTGCTGGATTTAGACTTTATTTGCTGTTGTTTTCCCAGCTCCTTTAGATGTAAGTTTAGGTTGTGTATTTGAGACTTTTCTTGCTTCTTGAGGAAGGCCTGTATTGTTATATATTTACCTCTTAGGACTGACTTTGCTGCATCCCAAAAGTTTTGAACTGTAATGTTTTCATTTTCATGGGCTTCCATGTATTTTTAAAAAATTTTCTTTAATTTCCTGGTTGATGCATTCATTCTTTAGTAGGTATCTGTGGTCTTTCCAAATTTTTTCTTATGATTGACTTCAAGTTTCATAACAGTGTGGTCTGAAAATATGCATGATATGATTTCAATCTTTTTGTAGTGGTTAAGGCCTGATTTGTGACTTAGTATGTGATCTATTCTGGAAAATGTTCCATGTGTACTTGAAAAGAATGTGTATTCTTTAGGATGAAATGCTCTGAATATATCTGTTAAGTCCATCTGGTCCAGTGTGTCACTGTTTTCTTGTTGCTCTTCTGCTTAGATGATCTGTCCATTGCTATGAGTGAGGTGTTAAAGTCCCCTACTATTATTGTATTATTATCAATGAGTCTCTTTAAGTTTGATATTAATTGACTATTTATTTGGCTACTCTCAAGTAAGGGGCATAAATATTTACAGTTGTTACATCTTGTTTGATAGACCCCATTATTATGATATATACCCTCTTCATCTCTTATTACAGTCTTTGGTTTAAAATCTAGTTTTTCTGACATAAGTATGGCTACTACAGCTTTCTTTTGATGTCCATTGGCATGATAAATGGTTCTCCATCCCCTCACTTTCAATCTGGAAGTATATTTGTGTCTAAAATGAGTCTCTTTTAAGCAGCATATTGATGGGTCTTTTTTTTTTTTTTTTTATCCATTCTGATACCGTATGCCTTTTGATTAGAGTTTTAGTCCATTTACATTCAGAGTAATTATTGAGAGATATGAATTTAATGCCATTGTATTGCCTGTAATGTCATTGTTCCTGTAGATTGTCTCTGTTCCTTTCTATTCTTCATTGCTTTTGGGCTCTCTTTTCCACTCAAAGGGTCCCCCCTTTAATATATCTTACAGAGCTAGTTCAGTGTTCACGAACTCCTTTATTTTTTGCTTGTCTTGGAAACTCTTTTTTTTTTTTTTTAATTTTATTATATTATGTTAGTCACCATACAGTACATCATTGGTTTTTGATGTGGTGATCCATGATCCATTGTTTTCGTATAACACCCAGTGCTCCATACAGTACGTGCCCTTAATACCCATCACTGGGCTAACCAATCCCCTTCCCCCCTCCCCTCTAAAACACTGTTTGTTTCTCAGAGTCCATAGTCTCTCATGGTTCATCTCTCCCTCCAATTCCCCTCCCCATTTTTCCCTTCCTTCTCCTAATGTCCTCCATGTTATTCCTTATGTTTCACAAATAAGTGAAACCATATGATAATTGACTTTCTCTGCTTGACGTATTTCACTTAGCATAATCTCCTCCAGTCCCATCCATGTTGATGTAAAAGTTGGGTATTCATCTTTTCTGATGGCTGAGTAATATTCCATTGTATATATGGACCACATCTTCTTTATCCGTTCATCTGTTGAAGTGCATCTCAGCTCTTTCCACAGTTTGGCTATTGCAGACATTGCTGCTATTAACATTGGGGTGCATATGGCCCTTCTTTTCACTACATCTGTGTCTTTGGGGTAAATACCCTGTAGTGCAATTGCTGGGTCATAGGGTAGCTCTATTTTTAAATTTTTGAGGAACCTCCACACTG